ATTGGCTTGAATAAGTTGATGAACTTTAAACAAAATACAAATACCTCTTTTGCTCCTTGCAACACTTTTCGATTTTTGCTCCACTGTTTTACGTGCTACTAAGCACCGCTTTGTTGTTTAGCGAAATTATCCTGTTGAGTTTCATGCACATTTCATACACTTAAAGTAAGGATAATATAAAATTTATTGCCAATTTGCATAAAAATTGTGTAAAATTGACACATTAAATTAAATTTAGTTAAGAAAAATGTGTGAGAAGTCAGAAACTTGTGAGGCGTGTAAGGGGAATTTATGCTGACTTTTAAAGGATTTTAAATTTTAATTTTTAATAGAAATGTAATTTGTTAAATTTAAAATGTATATCCGTATTTTTTGCTATATTTGCACATATTCATATATATTAATCTATCCATAATATTTTCCTAATATATCTATATAATATAAATATATATGTATGTTTATACATTTTTTGTTTTACTTAATATTTAAGTGCTTTTATGAAATTTGCCTACACATATTCACATATAAGAGTATTAAAATAATTTACACATACAAGACATATTAACAGACACACATTTTTTGTTAAAAAAATTAAGCGAATTAATTACATATTAAAAAACATTTAATATTAATTTTATATAAGTTTTTATATACACACACAAATATATATGTATTTTATATGACAAATAAAATGTATAGAAAAAAGATCCTATGGGCGGAACCTCCACCTGCTCCCCCAACACTCTACTCACTTTACTGAGTAAGGTAAAGACTTCTGGTTAAGATGAATCTAAACTTCTAGGTACTAAGTCCATTTATCTCGATTTTAGTGGATTAAAGTCTTTTTGACTACGAATTTAGCAGGTGCAGCAGTTAGGCATATTGTGGGAAAAGATGACGTAATTGCTTAAAAGATCTAGTTCATGACAAGTCAGATAAGAAATATATTAATTATACTTGGAACCATAATCGAAATGAAACTACTATGGTATTAACATAAATAACGACCTCTATCTAGTATGCGTATTAACAACGATAAACCGTGGTATCACAATGGGCCATTGTTTCAGCTCAAATGGGCTTTAAGCATGTCTGACACTAGACCAAAAACTTACGGAGGAGTTGACCAAAAATTTACGGAGGAGTTTACCAAAAGTACCTTTAACCATTTATTGAGATACTTTGTAGCCGAATATGTCTTCTGATGTTCTGGCTAAGACTGTGTATCTGGTGGTATGTGTGGTTAGTTTTATTCAAAAGAACAGAAATTCCGCATTCTTAATAAATTAATACGCTAATAGGTTTACAGTAGTACAATAGAATGATTTGCGGTTACAGTAGACAATAGTTTTATGGATCCACTACTTCATATAATCAATAAATGTGTACTGTTATTTGTTTTGCGCTTTATCATCACACTAGAGGCAATTCAGTACGGTACTTTCAAAACTAGCTTCAGGAACATAGGTATTGGCTGAACCTAAGAATTGAATATGAATATAATTTTCTGAATATTACACGATTAATATGGTTCGCAACTGAATATATAGAGATAGCGTTATCATTGACTTAAAGCATTTTTTATATACCTTTATATGACATCTAAAGATGTAATTTTATATTTATTTGTGTGCATATAAAAATAAATTTAATAATATATATTAATTTAATACAATTACAAAACAATTAAATAATCTACCAATAACTACTTTATTTATTTTTAAAAAAATTACACATTTATGAATGCAATTGGTATGTAAAAAGTACAGTACGAAATTTATATCAATTTCTAACTTAAACTCTACACATACATATATATAAAATTCAATGAAATTCATACATTATTTTACTCACTCGCACACATGGCCACTCATATTCCTATATAGTAAAATTTACTGCATTTTTTTAGTGCTGTTGGTTATGAAATTGTTGTTGTTGTTACTCGTACTTACATATTTTATTATTGTTATTGTTGTTGTTGTTTTCTTTTCAATTTATTGGTAGTGTAGTGTTAATGTTAAATATTTTTTTTGTTATTGCACTTTTTGCTTTAATTTCTATTATATTTTAATTCAATTATTATTATATTTTGTTTCATTTGTAAATTGTTTTTGTTTAATATTTTTCGTTTTTGTTGTTAAATTTTATTTAAACCATAATAAATTTATAACACAGGTCTGGCAATGTTCGGTTTCGCTGTTGTCGATGCAATTTCAGATAATTTAATATCGATTGGTACCCGAGTGTCGTACAGTGTTGGCGCCTGCAGTATTATTCCGGCAGTACCAAAAACAACCGCTATTGTAAATATCCATAAGAATAAACGATCCAAAACCATTGCTACATATTTCCAGTCCTCTTTAACCTGTAAATAAAAATGAAAAACATTTGAAATTTAAATTAAATTTAGATTTAAAGTTGTATATATCTAATATGGTAAATATTTAAAAATTTTTATTAAAAACCATTTTGTTTATTTTATTAAAATGACTTTAAATTTGAAATTTATTCTGTTATTCAAATAACAAAATAAATTTTTATCGTACTTTTGAAAATCGTTAAGATTCTAAATTAAATAATAATAATAATAAGTTTTACAGAGTTTTAATCCGATGATAGGTATTAATTCAGTAAATTAAATTTGATAACTTAATTATCAAAAAAAATGATTCAATTATGTTCAAGTATTCAGGAAGTTTAGTTATGATCTCCAGTATATCACCAATCATCTCTGGTTTGAAAGCAAAAGATATCACTGACGGCTCCAAAACCGTTAGGAGCAGTTGATGCAAGAGTCTTTGACCCCAACACCAGAATCTCGCTTTAGTTGTGTGGATGCATCACTATCTTTCAAGTGGAAGTTTAAGTCAATGAGGTCTGCAGTCGATGCAAATTTACTAAAGGGTTGAAAGGTGTCCATATCTGTATATACACAAACAGTAGTAAGTAGCAATCAAGGCATTAGCCGTTTAAAGGTATGATACTTGCTACAACTGACAAACAAAAGCAATTTGATAATTTGCTTAGTGTCTGAGTACATTGGAATCAAAAACAATGAATCTAGAGACAATCTTGCAAGGATACAATCCTTACAATTCTGTGGATCGGAGCCTTACTGTGGAATAAGTTAATTAAAAATAAAGGTTCTGTAGAAAAATTATTTTGTAAACGGAAGAAGTCATTACTGGCGCGACATTTCAGATAACTGTCAGTGTAAAGAGCTTGTACCTTCGTATAACTCCAGTACAGAGTTGAGGTTGTTGGTAGGTTGTCTGGGAATAGAACGAGGACTTTATTTGAATGCAGATGAAACCTTTAGTTGTGTTCTTTGTGATTCTCCGCTTTAATTTGAAAAAGAAAAATGTCATTGGACTGGTAATTGCTATCCCGATATGGTAGTAGCTTGTTTCCAAAATTGACTTCACTCAAAGGACGAAAGGTCTTTTCTTCAGTTAGGGTCGGTTAGAAACACAGAAACTCAACCGTTTTCGCAGTGGTCTGCTGCATTGGAAGCCATTAACCCGTAAATTTTCTTATTCACTTAAATACTCGTAGCTTAGGTTTCAGTATTGATAACAAGAGAAAATCTCCTGTTATTTTATTCAGTTTAATTTCTTTTTAATAAAGAAGATTCTTTAAGAAATTCATAATAATACGTGATTGTTAAGCCAGGGAAATTTTCGGAAATTCATCTTTAGTCTGAAATCCGATTCTATTTGATTGGAAAAGAGCTTTAAGCAGTTTCTAATGCTTTGTTATATGTAATATTCGGAAATTTTTTGAAATTCGCATATAGTCAAATAAAGTTTAAATCTTGCTCTTTGAGAATGAGTACTTTTATTTTATTATGTCGAGTATGCTCTTTGGATATGCAGAATACGATAAGTATTGAAATTCGTTTTTTGAATACTAAAACCTTATTCTTCCTACATGAGAAGAAGTGCTAGAACTTCTAACATATTTTTATTGGTGGTTGTGCAGATAAGCAGCAAACTGTGCTTCACCTTATGTGTGAGTGTCTATGAATGGTTAGAAAAAGATTTTTAGTCTTTAGGGCCTCTTTTCTTACTGAATTGACAAAGCTGTCAACCTGCAGAATTGGTTCACTTTCATTTGAATGGAGGAGTTGTGTCTCTCTGTGTTCTTCGTATGTTGATCTATGTGCTACTTTCAGGAATTTTTCTGGGCTTTATATGAACAGCGCTAATCCATGGTGTTACAACAAATCATTATTTTAGCATAAGTCGGCTGTGGGTACTATTCCGCCACCCCATCTTAACCTAATCAAAAATAGATACTCACATAGTTCGGATTATTTGAACTATTCTGTATATATGTACTCGTATTCCCTTAATAGTTCACAACATAAAATTATTTCAATAATGTGAATAGTATAATTATTAAACTAGAAAATAAGCATATGCTTATTCAAATGAGAAATTCATTTTTAACTTTTACATTTTTAAATATCAATTTGAGATTAAAACATTTCCTACTGTTTTAATGAAAGACACTTAAGCGGAAAAGTCTGCTCCTAACAATAAAAACATTTTTATTATTATTTTTTGAAGAAAAATAAATACATTGGATCATTGCTATGAGATTTTAGTAGGAAAACATATTGAAAGCATTCACCCGTGTGTTATTGCCATTTCGATACTCAAGGGCTTTCCTTCATTGGTGAATGTGTACTTCTCGTTATTACGAGTATTTCGGTGCGCCGCAATTTATTTCCTTTTATTTTTTATGGGTTTCCATTTCTCGGTTTTGCTTAATATTATGTGTGTGGGTTTTTCCACAGTTTTGAACATTCGAGTACTTTTTGGGGAAAATATGGTATTTTTGTATATTCGAAAAATTTGCAGCCTATTAAAAAAAGGCATAAGATAAGCATATTTCATATCAAAGATTTCTAAAGAAGTCAAAAAGGAGCATATTGAAATATAAGTAGCTTCTAAATAATAGTTATTATAGCAATTATTTCAATAACATTATTTAATTTCAATTTTTAAAAAATATTTGTAGATGTTTTATATATGCTTATAACGTCATAATTTTATGAATTAATAATTAAGTATTAGAAATAGTTAAAAATAAAATTCTGGGCTGCTTTACATCAGAGACTCTATTTAAAAAAAAAAAACTCGGCCTCCCAGGTGGAAGTCAGATTGCTTCTTATTCAGGATTTCCTATCGCCAGACGGAAACATTCGCCTCATTTAAAGGCGAAAAGTTTTTACTATTCTCGTTTTTATCTAAAACAAAGACAGTCATAGCCAAAGAGTTTAATCTAGTTTCATATATAGTCGAGGTCTGATTAGATAAACCTGTCTTGTTTTTAAGATATCATACTAGCAGATAGCTATAATGTCAAACTCTGCTTTACTGAGAAGGAATATATTGTCATTGATGAACTAACTCTGCAATTCTATAACTTGGCGGCTACTTAGAATGCTTAAGCAGTAACGACTTTTTTCAGCCATTGATCAAGCATCCATCAGAGATCAATTTGTGATCCAACTAGTTTTACAATAAGGCTGCAGTCGAAAGAGTTTTATATTTGATATTATTCTAGCAAGATTATCTGCAGATTTATTGGCAACAACTACAGTAAAATCTGGTTCCCTTTAGTAATTTATAATTATTATTTCATAATTGACAATGAAATAAAATAAATTTGATAAAATAATTGTGTATTAATGTATGAATCATTTTTTGAAAACATAAGTACTATATATGTACGGTTGTCACCGTTGAATATTCACTATTTAGATTCAAAATTCTGCGATAATTACAGAATTCAGAGTGATATACGTGATTACCTCCGTAAAGGCTTGAGAGCCATGGTGTTCTGGAGATTCCAGAAATTTCCACCGACACCAAATTGAGTTAAATGTTTGGCATTACTTCCCCCTTGGTTAGGAGTCGTAGCACTTTTGCTGATATTTAGGTCAGCATCCAGTCGAAAAATACAACTCCACCACGACACAGCCACCACGATACTGCCAACCTCAATTGGTCAGGACAGCCGAAGCCACGGACCCTGACCCGTGTGGTACCAGATTTACAGTTCCGGTCAGATGCCGTAAGTGAAAACTCACTAACTACCATTTACACCGCAAACAATGTCGGATGGTGCTCTGGGTTTTATTCGCTTTTTACGACAGGCATGCCTTACCTCTGGAATATTCTTTCTCGAGGGGGAGTAATGATTAACATGTGTAAATGAAAACATCTATTTGATATTGTTGTTTTAAGAATTGTACTAGACAATACGAATAGATGCCATTAGCAGCAATACACCATTGTCCTTTCTCATAATTATGTTTAATTTTAAATGTTATACTAATACTATACGGCAAAGGCTATACTTATGATATGCACAAAAAATTTATATAAAATATTTTCAATTTCATTTCAAAATATTAAGGTTTTATATATAAACAATAGGAATAAAATTAAAAAAAAAAATTCAATATAAATATTTTAGATTTACTCTAATCCATTTGTAGTTTTTATTTAATAAAAAAAGGTGCCAGTATTATACTATGATATCTCTAGTTTTTGTTTTTATATAACTACATCATATATCCAAAATATTAAACAAAATATTTAATTAAAACATAAATTCCACAACTTGAAACTTCAAAACAAATTTTTTCATTCCATATTTAATCTTTCTCTTCTCGACTTTCATTTTAATATCTAACATTGCCTTAGTTGTAGAAATTTAAGTGCTCGTATGTCACTGAAAGGGGACAAAAGCCATAAAAAACTTAAAATCCTTTCACGCATTTCCCAGCTAACATATTTCATGTTACGCAGGATATGAAATATCTTAGTGATTCCTTCTCTTGCACATAAAATATTTGACAAATGTAAGTCGGTTCATACGTCTGAAATACGGGGTTTCACAGTAAAGTATGCACCACTTAAATAAATAAAATGCATACTATTTTTCCATTATCCTGTATTTTAGCAAAAATAAATAAAATATTTTTAGTTGTACAAATTTTTGTGGTAATAAGAAAAATATTTATACATTTTAGGATATGTTTCTTGGATTTTATTTTTCGTAAACATTCCTTCAAATATGCAAACAGAAAAACTGAGTTATGACTACCGTAGCAACATATCTTAAAAGATAATACATGGCGTATGAGTAACAATATTTGATTGTCATTAAATTTTTTTGTTATTTAAAAGAAAAATAAAATGTGGTTCTCTTCCAACTTATATTATAAAAGCATTGTAGATAAGATCTTTTTTGCAAGAAAACTTCTCCAAAATACTAGCGATATACAAAAACTGGATAAAAAATTAATTACAGTATGTGTTATTTTATATTCCTTTTTTTACTAACTTTAATAGTTTCTTCTTTATTAGCTGAATCAGAAAATTCAATGTACACATGTAGTTTTTTCAAAAATGATATATTTTATACATAATATTCCAATTTGAAAAGGTAGAACAAAAAATAAAAACCAGATGTGCAGTATTTAAAGGAATAATATCAACAGTTTTGCTGTTCGAATTCGAAAAACTTTTTATTGAAATTATGCATATTGGTTAACATTGAATATGTAATTCATCGTCAATTTTAACTAATTGAAACAACTTGTATTGTTTCTTTAACAAATGATTTATATCTGGAGATCATGTGGCTTTTCATTTAGTAGAATAATTCAATTAGTAAGCTATATATTTCATGTTCTCGATAGTCTATAACTGTTACCACTAACGAAATCATCAGTCCCAGTCAACCCAACTCTTTCCAATTATCGGTTTCAATATCATTTTCGCTGGGGTATCATCATCCATTCCATATCAACATGTGTAGTATCATCATCCGCATCATCCACATTAGTTATAGTCTGCACCCACAGTATCTTCCTCCAACTACCGCTTCCTTCACAGTATCTTCCTCTAACTATAAATGTTATGATAAAGCTCATACAGCTCATTGTACATTCGGATGCATTAAAAGACCAAAGACCTTTTCTTTTGGAAACTTCCAGTGCTGCTGCATCATTTTGTGATAGTATCAATGCTTTTACATCATACAGAAGCACATGTAGAATAAGCGACCTATAGAGTGCAAGTTTTATCTTTCGGTGGAGAGCTCTACATACCAATACATATCAATAGCAAACTGCACTCATTTTAGTACCTATGGGGAATGGTGATTCTTTGCTTGATCTCTAGGCTGCTATTAAAGTTGGATGTAAAACTTCTTAAACTCATATATCGATCATTTACTTCAAGAAAATAAATTTTTGTAAAGACACCTCATACAAAATATTTTTTTTCAATTTCATTTCGTGTACTTAGGGTAGTTTGTCAGTAGTTTCCATTTTTTTCACTTTTAAAGTGCTATTAGCTGGTAATTAAATGTACATATACTCGTTAAGTAATGTGTGCTAGCTTCAGATGCTTAAATCATCCACTTTATAACCGTGACACTCTCATATCATAGTTGTAATAGGGCTTACAATTAATATGACCCTTGCGCTTGTAAAACTGCTACACCTATCCGCCAGCATTCTTTCCAATAGACTTCTAAGTATATGGCCTCTTTTTCTCAACTCTACACCCTAATTACAGGAATAAAGTTTAACACACTGCCTTCTGGATCAGTGTTGGTAGTTTCAGTGGGTTAAAATCACACACAGTGGCTGTCAATGCTTTCTAGCTACCACAAAAACTTTCTATATGTATTATGTAAAAGTCTATAATTTTTGTAAGTGCTGTATGAATTTTGGAATCAATAAATAATAGTGATAAATAATACTTTAGTGTGCATTTTAACGTCAGTTATGATGGTAGTAACTATTTTACTGAATAGAAACTTTTGTATTTAATGGGATAATTGGCAATACTCACAACAAAGCTGTATGATCAGCCAAAAATTCAATAAATAAAAATAATAAAATTTTGTTGTTGTAGTTCACTGCTGTTCAAAACCTCTCTACTAAATACTTCCAGTAAATAATGATTTTTCTTATTTTAAACCCTAAGCATACAAATTTTAGTTAAAATATGCTCTGGAACCCTCAAGTGTAGATAGGAGCAAATAATTCAATAACAACTTTAATTTTCTCTAATTGAATGCATACGAAATATTTCACTTACTGATTTTTCCTTTTTTGCATAAGGACGCTTTTATGTGTATTTTACTCGTATATTAAAATTGACAACAACAATAAAGTCAACTTACAAGTGTCGTTGGAAATGAGTCGGTGTATGTCAAAGTTAATATGGATTTGTGCCTTGGTATTTTTCAAGTACAAAGTGATTTAACGCCTCCCCTTAAACGACACTAAAATCGAATCTGCTTGGTATGCAGCTTAGTACCAAACATTTGATCAGCAATGCGATATGCTAATACATACAACTGCGCCACGATTATCCTTAGGACGAAAGTGTGTATCCTCAGTGTTGTGAGTTTGCCTGTTCGCCCTGCCTTAATAATTCGGTACGCATATTTGCACATAAATTCAGTTTGAATGTCAATGACATACACTACGTGCAATATGAGTAGTAGTAGGCGCTGAAATTAAAGTATTGTGAGTTGTGCTTATCATATCCTTTTCCTTCTGCCTGCATGTCCAGCTGTCAACTTGTTTGTCATTTGTACGAGAGTGGAATGGTTGTTGTTGTTCGCTGTTTGCTATTTGACAAAACACAAAATGTACACTAAAAGAATTTGTACTGTCAATATTTGACAATCAAGTGGGCTGGTAAATTTCTTGATACGTACAAAGCGGCGCTTTTAAAAGGTCAACAAAAGGGCATGTCTTGCCTACGACACCTTATATGGAATAAGAAAACATGCTTACAAAATTTTATTGCCTTCTCAATAGTTGCATTTTGTGTTCGTTCACTTGAAAGTTTGTATCTATTGTGAGTTTGAGTGTGAACGGGTATCCTCGTATGTGTGTGATCAATAGTATCTTGATTTCGCTAAACATATTATGAATTTTGGTCTATATAAATATATGTATAGATATATTCATATAGCATATACTTATATACATAGATATGTACATATATGAGGTGGTGTAGCGTGATGTCTGTGTATGCCACATGCTTTTTGGAAAAATGTGACCAATTGACCAGTTAAGCTGGTTTTATTGCTGGCAGGCAGGCAGCTTTGTTGTGTTACTGTCATTGTTGTTGCTTGTATTGATGTCGAAAATTGCTGTATTGATTTGATTTATGCTTCCAAATTGTCTAAGCGTGCCTTTGCCTATACTAGAGTTGACTGCACTGCGGCATTTAAGCAGGGCGTATTGTGCTCGCTATTTACTCTGAGCGACGCTGTGCCCACTGCCAAATACATATGCCGCCTGATTGCCACGTATGCAATCGTTAATGAAACGGCGATTTCATACTGATAACTGAACATACCCCACAAACGTATATAACTAGCGAAGAATAGCAAAGTAGGAAACGGAAATTGCTACTGTAATATATTCTGGAAAATTTCACAAAGTGTTTTGCTTTGACTAAGAAAGATGCTGGCTATATGAATGGTTGTGTAAGCGTGTGTAGTTGTTATGAAAATCTATGTTAATGCGACTGTAATTTATGTTCATAGACAGATTATTTTTGTTTTTTTTTTGTTTTTTGATATTTATAGTTTCATTATGTTAGCTATTTAGTTAATGATAAGGCTTATTGTCCTAAAATGTGCTATGTTTAATATGCAATAACTAAGTTAACTAAGTTAAGCTATTGTCAATAGCATATGTGCGTGAAAACTATATATAGTAGTTTTATGTACTTACCCTTGTACTCTCCTCCTCTTTGCGTGTCTGATCGGCAATGTACGTTACACCATCCATAGCCTTATGCAGTTCTGGACACGTATGCCAACGATGCCGCACAGTGCTGCTCTCCTGGCCCGAACAGCAGTGTGGGCCGCCTTCACGTTGACAAGCGGGCAGCACCCTGCTTGGCTGTTGTGTTTCTGTTGACTGACATGCTGCACCAGTGCCCATACCTTGATGCGTTTGTATGGTCCCACTGCAGCATGAGTCGGCCAGTGTCGAGGCAGTCGCTGTAGAGTTAACAGTCGTTGTTGACTTTATCACATTGGAGTTGGTATTGCCTAGCAAATCGCTGGTTGTTGTTGACTGGTGTTGTTGATGTGGATGCAATGGTACTGGTGAAAAATTTGCAGATGATGTTGACTGTTGGCGATATAGATGATGTGGATGTGTATGCTGCTGATGCTGTTGATGTAATGTTGTTGTTGATGATGACATGGCACCAGATAAATGATGGTGTGCATGATGTGCACCACCGCTATATTGCGAGGTTGAAGGTCCACCATTGCCTCCACCATTTGTTTGGCAAGATGTTGATGCCATACGACGAAATTTCGTAGGCGTTAATGGATGATCGAGCAGTGAACCACCCGTTTGTTGATATTGACTATGATGTTGTGCGTCTACAAGTGACGAAGTGGTCGATGTCTGCTGATTAACGGTTGTTATTGTTGAGGGGTAGAGTGTTGAGAAATGTCCTGTTATAGTTGAAGCACCAGTAGTGCTCATACCACAACCGCTTATGCCAATAGTTTCGTCCATTAGGTTAAGACTTTGTACTCTGTGCTGCATGTGCGGTGAGGTGCTGCGTGATGTCGTTTTTGGACTATGATGCATTCTAAGCATGAAATAGCGATGAAAGCATAAAAATGCCATTGATTAAAATTTGAAAATTTCACTTTGTAATAGAATTTTGTTGAAAATGTTTACTTACTTAGATAGTGCCACTGGTGGTGGCAGCGGTGGTATTTGATCCCTCAGTTCAAATCCGTTGCATGTGCGTACCATTAAACGACGTGACGATTTGCTACGTGTAAAAGTTAATGAAATTTAATTGAAACATTTTCGTTTGGAGTTAAGAGTTAAGCAATTTCATTTTCGACTTACATCATTTCGCTTATGGGATACAACGGACGTCGCATAACTAAGAAACGTGGCAGCTGGTTAATGAACACAGTACGTACCCAAGGTGCCATTGTGTGTGTTTGCGGTGAGCGGAAGTGTATGTTCAGTACAACCACTGTAACGCATATACTGTGTTTTGATTTAATAACAATAAAACGATTGATTGCAATGAGTACAGTTAAGCAACGGCAACGGCAACGGCAATGGCAACAACAGCATCAGTCCATTAAAAAAAGGCGCATGAAAATAAATTGAAAAATAAATAAATAAAATAATAAAGAACAAATTACTTTGGGGAAATTGATGATGCGTTGAATTACAAATTTTTACACACAACGGAAATTGTACCACAATCTATACTCATTCACTCAATCATGCATTTATTGCCTTACACAATATGCTCGAGCTCCCATATTAACAATGGAGCATCAAGTGAATCTCAGCGCTAAATTGTTGGAATGCAACTGAGTTTATGTGTGTTAATATGTGCAAATATAAATATAAATATGAAAATAAATATAAATATATATATATAATAATATATATATATAACATTATATACATATATTATTAGAAACTCATACATGTTGTTGGTTGTTGTTGTTGGTGTCGATGGCATTGTCGACAGAAGGTGGTTTTGGTGTTGGTTGCAATTAATTTTTGATTGAAATATATTTGGAGTGTGTTCAGTGCACACTGACAAGTTCAAAAATGATTTATGAGTTTAAAAAAATATTAAAAAACATATATATAAAAATAAATAAATAAAATTAAATTGAATTTAACTGCATTAAAATTACAACCTTTGCAATAATATACATAATGTATAATAATAGTTACTAAAAAAATGGAAAATAATCATAAATATTACATTTATGCTGAATTGTAATTAAATTTGTAATTCTCAAAAGATTTTTTAATTTTTGATTCAACTTTATTATTTAATATTGCACAAGGGTTTTGCAGTCATTATACTATTTAACTTATACTAGTAGAGGTTTAAATTGTTAATTTGATATTATTTAACTTTTACTAGTAGAGGTTTAAATTTTTGATTGATAGATTGTTTCATAATTATTTATTAAAAAATCATTATTATTATTATTTAACTTACACTAGTAGAGGTTTAAATTGTTGATTGATAGATTGTTTCATAATTTATAATTCAAAAGCTTAATTATGTATATTTTGTACTTATATATTTAAATATTATTTTAATTGGAAAATCTTCTTAATGGTCTTGACACTTGCAGTGAAAAAATTATGTATGAATTAAAAAACTTTTAAATATTTTTGAAGACCACTAATAATAATGTTTTGAGAATAATCGAAATAGCTGTATAATTGACTAAAATTTAAATAATTAAAAATAAAAATAATTGTAGCTAAAATATTTTCTTTTCCATTAATAGTGTTACGATTTTAGAGAAAAAAATATAGCAATTTTGTATGAATGAAAGAAGAAAGCTAAGTTCAGATAACTACTCTGTTTATAGTCAGTATTTGTAGATTAGATTGTACAAGCGATCCCAAGGTTCTACTTAGTTTATTGGCTCATTGCGTTATCGTTTAGGAACTCAGATTTCATAGAAATTACCTTGCATCTATTACAAAGTACTTTAAAGAGACGTACTGGTGCTGGCCAAGATCCTTAAAAAAGGAGACCCTTAGTGTAGTTAATTGCTGACGGCATTTTCGTCGTCCTCCTTACCATTGTGACAAAAATAATAAAACGGGAGAGTAAATTGACACGCAACATCAAGAGACTGCTAGCATTTTTCTTTATAGAAATATTTTTGAGTCTTATTACCTTGTATTGAATTGCGCAATACAGAAAGACTTTAAGTATCAGTGTATATATCTGTTATGGTAAGAAACAGATTAATACATACCTACACAGATGTGCAGGATATTTCCTAACATAGTAGCATAAACACGGAAAGTAGTTTTATGGTGTAAGAAACGTAAAAAATAGTAGAAGGGAGAGGAAGTGGTGTTGCCATTTTAACTATTTGCCGAAATACAGAGTATCATTCATAAATTTCTTTAATTTGATCGTTAATATGTCGTTGCAATAACAAACTTTTGTAAAATATTATGCCAGTACGGTTTAAATATCCTGCTCGGATTATCGTTTCGAATATTAGATTAAGAAAATCACATGACATGGAGTCATCATTTCTCAAACCTCGTTTGTTGTCAAACTGCTCAGAGAGGATCTTCTCAATTCCAACAAAGCTGGTGATCTGGCTCAACGTTATTTTGTGAAGCTGTATACGTTTTGCAGATACAGATATAGCGGCATAAAAAATGTTTCCAGTTGTAGTGTTAAAATAGGTTGTAAAATCGACAAATATATGGTGTCAATTTGTTTTTCTTGGTTTTTGGGTCTGGGATTTCACTCACTATATATATCTGAATATTTATGGTGGATTTGTCAGGTCTAAGTTATACAGATAAGGTCCAAATAGTGGCTAACGTTTGACTTCAATGTTTCAAATAGTATGTTTGGCAGAACCTAAGATGTGATATTTAAAAGACTGATCTCTAAATGTGAGGTTATCAAATTAATGAAAAATGGATGGAATGTATAATAGTGACAGTAAAGATGTAATTATCTAGTTTAAATTAAAAAATTATTTTTCTTGTTTATAATACTTTTTTATGTTATTTTTTTGCAGGCTAGTTATAACAAATATCTCTATATGATAT